AACCCGTCCAGAAGACCTATACAATTTTTTTCTTTTTGATTTTTTACCTGGATTACTGAGATGCATCAGGACTTTTAGTGTTGATACTTTTCTTTTCCTCAGCAGGCACAAAAGGAGACGTCTGTGATGGCTCCGTGGATGTAAAACTGACACGAGTCGTAAACGTCAGCCGACATGAAACCTTAACATGGAGTTAACCCAAAACCCTGTTTTAAACAGTGTTTATATCCCGACTGAAACTAACACCCTCCCTTTAACATATACAGTATCCTGGATTATTCAATCATGACGTATGTCACTTCAAATCTGAAATAAAAAGTCTTTATTTATGTCTCATCTCGCTGTCTTCTTTGTCTTGAGAGGCTCTAAATGAATTTCTGCTAACTTTAAACCCCACTAGCCGCATCTGGCAGCTCAGTAACAAATCACAAAAGGTTTATCAACTTCATCAAGTGCATAATAATATACTACAGACCTAAGACTTGTCTGGACAAGCAAATGTAAAAATACATTTAATTACAGATCAAAGTGTGCCTCAGAATTGTCAAGATAATGGTATCGTTTTAGAAAACCGAGGAGGCAGTTAACTGAGGCGTACATTTTCACTTTATATATTTCAACTTTTGAGTTTATCACAGTTTTCCAGAGAGCAGGGAGCACTTCAGAGGGTCGGGACCAGGTGCAGAGTCGACAGTAACAAGCCAAGCTTCTGTTCCTTCACACCCGAGTACACATTCTTCACATCCAAGATGTTGGAGGGGGGGGGACAGACCATCTTCTGAGTAGACAATGGAGAAGGAAAATCAGATGTGACTCATATTCAGTTTGTATTTGGATTTGCACAAATTCTGAAAATAAATGTGGAAAACTTGATTATAAGTGGTTTCATGTTGCTTTGAGAAGCAAAGAGCCTCTCATCCTGCATCAGTGATGATGGCGAGCTTGATTTAGGGCATTCAGGAATAAATTTTCTTCACGTTTATACAGGACAATTGTCAAATGCACATTTAGAGGTGAAATAACAAAAAACTAGACTGTCCATGTTTATTGCACTACAGAGTGTTTCTGTTGGCTTAAGATCAATCTGTGTTTGAATGGATCCTTACCACATTTAAATGTAGTTAAATTATATTAGTTTGGCTCCTTTTACATTTTATTAATTCTATCTATTTAATAATGTTTACTCGGTTGTTTGTTTATAGTCTATGTTTACATTGAGGCTAAAAAGGAACATCTTTGATATTTTCCTCTGTGACTGACTCCCTGTAATCCAGAAAATTAATGTTAAACAAGTCTTTCACCCATGAGCACCACTTAGTGGACAGATGAGGACTTCAGCACACAGAAGAAAAAAAAACTTTATGCATTTAATCACATTTGTCCCTTTTTACATTATTTTTGTACTCTGCAGCAGAACGAGTTTGTGTACAAAGAGGTGCTGCTGAGCACATTTAATCTGTGGAGTGAAATCCTATTCTGTGAGATGTATTAGAAGCAGGGAGAGCTCAGGGTTCAGTAAGAAATCATCAATCCGCACGGCTTCCTATGATCAAACGAGACAAGCATGGCTGAGCAAATGCTCCAGCTTTGATTCATTAACACATCTCTTTGTGTCAAAACTTCACGAGGCAGAAAAGTAATGAACAGCTGTCGTGGAAATGAGATTTGTCTGGTTGAAATTATGTTTCATGCAGGCTTACTGACATCCCCCCCCACACACACACACACACACACCACCACCACCAGTGATTCACCTTATTCATTCATGGACAAAATGCCTCACAGTGTGTGGGTGTAGAAAACTTTAAGTATAATAACTATCAGAGGACACATGAGCTGCTTTTATCTCACATTGATTCACTGATGATCTTAAACTATGACCTGGGTTATGTGCCTCTACCCCCCCCCCCCCCCCAAACATCTCACCAAGTGATGGAGGGTTTGTTTTTGCAGACATGCCAAAGGCTGCATGGGATGCAGTCTGACATGTGTTAACACAGACAGACAGATGGCGTTGTACTTGTGAAGTGTAAACATTCTTCACACACACACACAACCCCCTGCTCTCCTCTTTGCTGTCTAGTGCTCTTTTAGACATGCCAGACACCTTCCAGACCCTCTCTTCGGTTACAAATCTGTGGACAAAGATCAGATTTTTATATAAATCTAGTTTTGATGAAGAGGGAGCAAAGTCCATCAGGTCCAAATAAACGATCTGCTCATGGGTGGTCTTTCATGGGGAGATTTTCTGGCCTGAAAATCAAAACCTGTTATATTCTAAAACAACAATGATGTGCAAAGTTACTTTTTTCCCTCTTTTTTTTAAATTAACTGACTTTGGCTCCAAAAATGACGCATGTCTTTTAGGTGTATTGCTACTTCTAAGACTTTTACAAAATGAATTTTAAAAAGGAGTCATTCTTGGAAGAAACATTCTTAAACGAAGATGTTGCCCAATCTGTTAACAGTCAAAATATATCCGTCCGTTCGTCTGTTTTCTTCTGCTTATCTGGGGTCGGGTCGCGGGGGCAGCAGCCTAAGCAGAGAGACCCAGACTTCCCTCTCCCCAGCCACTTGGCCCAGCTCGTCCGGGGGAATCCAAAGGTCTTCTTAGGCTAGCTGAGAAACATAGTCCCTCCAGCGTGTCCTGGGTCTTCCTCGGGGCCTCCTCCCAGTGGGACGTGCCCGGAACACCTCACCAAGGAGGCGTCCAGGAGGCATCCTAACCAGATGCCCGAGTCACCTCAARTGCCTCCTCTCGACGAGGAGGAGCAGCGGCTCTACTCTGAGTCAAAATATATGTTGGGGATAACTCTCAGATTAAACCACACCAAATGTTAGCTCAACATCTGTGTGACTGATGACATTGTAGTGAAGCCATTTGCTAAAGTGGATTAGCTGGCAGCCATCTTGAATCGGATTGATTCCAAAAGTTAAAAGTTTCATAAAAACGCACCAATTACACCATCGCCCACCATACAAAGATTGCAAAACTCCAGTGACCCTTGAATATTTTTGCTAGTTCTGGACATTTTTATTTAAACTTTCCATTGGTGGAGCATATTCTCCTTTATTTGGAGAGTTATGGTGAATCAGTATTTTCCCATCGTGTGGATCTAATTCCTAACCTCCATCGGTCAGAACAGCAGCTGAGCTGAACTTACTTCCAGTTGACCTCTGACCTTTCCAGTTTGGCTCTTGCTGTGGCATAGGATTGCACCGTTTGAAAATTTCCTGGCATAACTGTGACATTTTTGTCACGCTGATGAAATTACAGCTGACTTGTGTTTTTCATCTCCTTTTTTTTCCACCTCTATGAGTCGTCACCTCCTGGTACTTCTTGTTGGAACACAAATTTTCTTCAACACACAAACTTCATCAAACAAACACACACAGAACCTTATCCCTTTAGGGAAAAATCACATTTAATAAACCTCACCTCACACACACGTTTTCAGGTTCGTTTTTTCTCTCTCYTGTCTCTGAGCAGCATGCAGTTATCCGTAATCTGTGCTCGGTTTATGTTGTCTTCAGTTATACGAGGCTTAAAACGATTCTTACTGTGGTGCCGCTCTGCAATGTGTGACACGGCTTATTAAAAGAAAATCTGCTTGCTTTTTTTTTTGCTCCGTAAACTTTGGACTTGCTCCATCTCCTAAAGCTAATAAGTGCTTGATGTGAGCTTCCCGTACGGATATTCAGCTTCTAAATGGACTTCCAGTCYAGCCATAATGAGTTGGACAACAGTAACATTTGCCAGTTATCCACAGCACTTAGCCCACTGCCTGTCACGTGCCTTGCTCAAGGGAATAAAATACTGCTTTACTCAGTGCATTTAGGATACTCTTTCTCTTCTGCCAGCTAGAAGCTACGATGTGAATAAAGTGTGTAAAACTCCCAGCGTGTGCACAAATGGGACACGGGCCTCCAAAAAGTGGCACAGTGGCCTTGCATGGCGGCTTCTTGATGCGATCATCAGATTTGGAAAGTTGGAGCTTAGAAAGCCTCCCGCTGTAAATCGAGCTTCAACACATTTATAGCTGAAGGCCTTTGAGAGCTGATTGGCGAAGCAGGAAAAAAAAAAACCCTCAACATATCCCATCAGACCAGGCTCGGGCGCACTGCAGACAGATGGGTTTTATAACATGTCAACATGTGTCCTATATTCCACTCTCTRGTTGTACTCGGATGCAGCACAGTGCGGACGAAAGTCGTCACAGCTCGCGTTGAWAGATCCGARTTTTACACCAATTCTGTTWAAGTTRAAAGCTCWTTCCTTCCCTGCTTGAATCCGTATATTKCAGTTGCACGGTCGTAGGTTACGCTCAGGCCCCAGATCTCGCGAGCAAGACTGACCTAGCTGCTCAGCGTGGTCGTTTCGCTCACGTTTCATCTGATAAYCTCGTGGATGAGAAGGAGCCGTTCCCTACTGCGATGGTTTGGGGTCTGAGTGGAGAGAGAGCGAGAGTTGAGTCGGTCAACGACATGGGATCTGCCCTGATTTAGATGTGTCCTAGTTGGTCTCAGTTTCTACATTTGTCAGTAACTGAAGATAGAAAAAGACGACCACAGCTGCATGTTTTCCTTAAAAAAAAAAAAATCCCCGAATAACCTGATGGGATGAGCTTCAATCTAAGAAAATTTAAAAAAAAAATGTTGGGTGCTGTTTGAACCTGTAATAATCACTTTTTGTTAACAAACTAATTTTCAGCTCATATTTCTTTAATTAATAGTTGATGACATTCCCTCAAAAATCTGTTTTTAGAAAAGAAAATCTTTTAAATTGCACAGTTTAACTAAATAAAGGCGACAAACAGAACAAATTTTGGGGTTTCATTTCTTTTTTTAAAATAAAKTCCATATATTTCCGTACTTTCGTGTAGTGCATTCTATCAGCTTTAAGSCTCAGTGCGTTCCTGAACATGTGAGTAAAAAGCAGGGCTTTGGGGTCAGAGTCAGATCGGGGCTTTCTGTCGTACTGCGCTGCCTTGTGTTTCCAGATGAGAGCAGATAAACACAACAGTCACAGAAGCTGCTGCTGCTGCCAAACTGGGTCAACATCAAACTTTTCAAACCGAAAATGAACACTAGGAATAAAACAACAACTTGGTGTGACCTTATAATGGACATTTAAAGCTACCAGTGAGCCTGAGGTTTGTGGGAGGCAGAGGTGGGCACAATTCCCCTAAAACACTAATAGGGGAACTAATTTCCTGATTAGTGCTTTAGGGCTTTTGCTAATTTAAAAATGTGTTAGTGGATTAGCACTTGCTAAATTTATAGGCTAAATTTAGAAGCACTAACTGAGGTCTATAAATGTTATTGATCAACATTAATGCTAACAGATGATGGTGGAAGCTGTCACACATTTTGTTCATATGTGTGTCACTTATCCACTAGGTGACAATATATGAACTCAAATACAGCTGTGGATGTCAATGACGAGTGTTAAGAGAGCAACATGACAATATGTGATTCATGTTGTCTACTGAAGAATGTTCATGAGTTGACTGGGCTATTTTAGTGCTTTAGAATTAGCTTTTGCTAAAATTTTCAGTGCATTAGTGCTTTAGAATTAGGGGATCTAAATATTTGAGTTGGTGCTTTGGGGTTAGTGGAACTAATTTTTAGATTAGTGCTGCCCACCACTGGTGGGAGGAAACCAGAGCGCCTGGAGAAAACACACACCTGCATGGGGAGAACATGCAAACTCCACCCAGAAAGGCCYGAAGGTGACCCTGCAACCTTCTCGCTGAGAGGCACTCGCACCACTGTGCCACCAATACAGACTGTGCTCATAACCCTGAAGAAATGTAAAGTTATTAATGTTAAAAGCACAACACTATATTCTTAGGTTTTCCTTTTTGTAATGTTGACAATGTTTAATCTATTATTTTTGATTGAAATAAGTTCAGTTACATGTCCGAAATATGTGACAACACATAATCAAACGTTG